TGCTTTACCACTTTCATTGTGATAGGTCAATCTCCATGATAGGGGCACAATTTTTGCTTCTTCTTTTTTACTTTAAAGAATTTTGGTTCCAGGTAGAAATCCCTTATTCATTTCAAAAACTATTTATTATTGGTTTTCAAAAGGACAGGGTGCAAAATATGTGTGAATTCACTCTATTCTGTTTTCATTTGGTTGTAAAATGTGATCACAGTTTCATCCTTCAAAGCTGTTACCATTTATTCACAGGTGTAACGTAAAATTAGGTGATATTGTGATGGAAACAGAGTAAGAGGAACTCAAGTTTATGCATTCTATATATTTCCTAAACTACTACTTTGTATCTCATATACTGTTACAGTATGAAGGATATTAATTTCAATTCGAGAGTTCTAGATTAATATTCTTACTGATTCAATCACTTTCAACTTATGTACTTTTGGTTCTCTTTTTTCTTGACAGCTACCGAACAAATTATTTCCTCATGATTGTTTTTATTCTCGGTAAGACTGTAAAGAGTACCTAAATTATTGGACCATCACTTTGTTATTTTTCTTTATTGGGCTTTGTTATGTTTCATCTACAGTATCTTTTATTTGTTAATACTTTAATGTATGGGTTGTATGTTCTGCACTGCAGGAATGGGATTTCTCAGGAGGCCATTATCTATCATTGCTGCACTTTTGACAGCTCTAAGCATTGCTTTTCTGAATGACAGGTATTATAATGTCTAAGGCACACTTCTCTTGTAAGTGTATGAGTGTATCAGAGCTTTTGGTTGTAGGTGAAGCTGTTTAGTTTGAGTTGAATTGAATATTAAAGTGGAGGTAGTATTTTTTCGTGCATTAACTACTGAAAGGGAAGGCATTGTATTTTTGCATATATTTATGCTCTCTGGTGTTTAACTACGCCTTCTTGTGACATTTTTGTGAAATTGATACTGTGGAAAACTGTTTCTGATTTTGATAATGACACATCTCTAACAGCTTTGCAGGCACTTTTAATGAAAAGGTCACAAGAACTGTCAGGCAGTTTTCTCCTCATTTGGCCGCTAAAATGAGGCCTCCCCTTACGTAAGCTTTTTTATTTATGTATTATGAAGTGTAAAACATTATACTTCCTCCATTCTTAAATAAATGCAACGGTCAACTTTTCACATTTGCCGATGCACAACTTTGATCATTAATATATATATAATTCTATTTTAGTAAAAAAAAATTAAAAATCATATTTTGAAAAGTTACAATTAGACAAATTGAACAATATCATTTTCAAAAACATTATTAGTACATTAATAAATAAAATGTTGTCAAAGTAGAGCATGTGAATAGTGTAAAATTCAACATGTTGCATTTATTTAAAAACGGAGATAGTATATATTTTTATCTTTCTCATCTTTCTTCTCCTCTTGGCTCCAATATCATGTATCGATTCGTGTTAGCTGACCCCAAAATCTTTTGGGACAAAGGCTTGGTTTTGTTGTAGTAAAACATTATATATAGATATATGTGCCTAACTGGCTCATATATTTTTAGACCTGTTATTCGAGGGCGCCCATCAGCTAAACGAGCCATATATATATGTGGACGACCCCGATGGACGTTTGTCTTGGTATCCTCTATTGGTAGGCATCATTTATCTTCTGTTTTACCAAAAATCTCCCCTTTTAAGCATTTTCTTTATGACGGGTATGATTTATATTGCATTCTTCTTCAGTGAGTATGCTGCTTTGGTTTGTCTCTTGTGGTCTTATAATGGTGTCATGGGCGTTGGCTAGTGGCCTTCTTGGTAATTATACAGCAATTTTCTCTATAGCAATTAGCAAATATTTCCTGCTATAATATCCATCTAATGTTAACTATTTACATCTCTACCTCTCAGCCACACTTGTTCATGCAAGCTTCCGAACTCCCAACTTGAAAGCTCGTCTAAACACATTTCGTGAAGAGTTCCGATCAGTCTGGCGCAGTTACAGTGAGCTGTAGCATTTTGAAGTTTATTGCATGTCAGTCACTAGCCTTTTCATATTTTTGTGAAATTTTCACATGCAACAAGATGTTATTTAAATTTTAAAGAATGCTGGTGAAACTTAATAAGCTGCTGCATCACATATTAAATAACTGTATTTCATTATCATTGTTTCATTTTCTTAGTTGGGTGATAGTAGTTTTCAAATATTCCATTTTTTGTCATGTGACTATTAGGTCATTCCTTTTTTGGCATCGGACTTTCATTTTTTCAATGTTTGGTGCATGATTATGGATTTCTCGTCTTCCTTTTGACTTTTCTGGCCGCTTAACAGAGTCCATGGAATTCCAGTTGATAGTGGTTGGAAAGTACTAGAAGGGGCAATAATTCATAGCCATTCACCTGAAAGGGAAAAAAAATGAAATGTGGTGATCAAAAGTGAGAATGTCCTGGTAGTCGATGGACAAAGGTGGTTACAAAGACCTAAAAGTGGCAAGAATCTTTAGTCAGTGCCCCAAAAGTGTGAAAAATGAAAGTTGGTGACCAAAAGTGAGAAAGATCTGGTAGGCCTTGACCTGTATAGCCCACACAAATGAGTGATAACTAGAGAAGAGATACCAAAAAGATGTTTACATTGTCTTTTCAATGCAGTTTGTTTTTGGCAATGTTATTTTGTTGCGTAGTATGTCCGTTTTGGTGTGATATTTCTAACTTTTGGATGCTGATTTTTGATTATCATTTCTTTTAAAAAAGGCTAATCAATCATGGAGATTGAACGTGGTGCTCAAACTGCTGCTGGGTGTTATGTTGATGCATTTCTTTCTGCTGGAGATGGTAGTTTTTACCCGTTAATGACCCCATCCCTTATTGTAGAGGCCATTTGTAAATGGTGTTGAAATCTACTTGTATGATCTTGGTCCATTGAACGATATTTCTTGAATGTGCAATTGCTGAAAACACGTCTCATATAATCTATTTCCCTAGTCTTTCTGGGGGAAAAACCATTGCCACGTCTACTGGCCCAACTGCCAAGGGTGTTGATCCACTGTCGTAGTGTCGTGTATCTTTTTCTTACATTTGGACTCGTGTATTTCACGACCCCTTTTTACACTTTTTGGAGTTGATAGCATTTTTGGCCGTTTGTCTATGCTAAAATTGCTAATCAATTTTCTTTCTATGGTTTCAACGGTTGTTTAGTTCATTGAAACACATAATAATATGACAGCGTTATAGATGTAAAAATGTTGAGTTGAAAATTATGAAAGTAAGATTGCACGGAAATAGGGATGGACCTAACCGGTTTGGCCTGGCCCCGAACTGGCCTGGCCCGCCATTGTGCGGGCCCGGACTGGCCTGGTTGGTGCTAACCGGGTCCGGGTTTCAACCCGGGGTGGGAGGGTTGGGCGGGCCTGACTTGGGCCCTATATTTGTTGAACCGGCCCGGGCGGTTTGGGTCGGGCCTGAGCTTTTTTTTTGTTTTTCAATTTTTTTTGTTTTTCTTGGTTAGGGCTCGGTGTTTTGGGGGGTTTGGGGGATGGGGTGAAGGGCGGAGGGGACGGGGGTTAATTAGAAAGCAAAAAAAAAAAATTAACTTGACCCGGGCTCGATTAGGCCTGGACCCGGTCGGTATCAACCCGGACCGGTTCCAGGCCTAACAATTTGAAAAAAAAGCCCGCCCGGGCCCGGCCCAGAACCGGAACCGGACCAGTCCGGGTCCATCCCTACACGGAAATAACAAAAACTTGGATTTTTATAGGATTTTATATTAATGGAGTTGAGATTTGCCATTAGCCGCTGTTTGGATACATGAATTATGAAATTCAAACTCAATTGACCTATTGCCCATAAAACATGAATGGGTTGTAATCCACTATTATATCGAGTCGTGTGAGGGCGTTTGGGATGGATGATTCCACCTTAGTACATTTGCGCTTCTTGGCTTCGCACCGCACTTCACACTTGCTTCTTCAGGCTCGCTTGGCTTCTTCTCCTCAAGCACGAACGCAAGAGACGGCGGCTCCTGGGGATCTTCTCTGTTAGGCTGTTAGCATGTGCTGTGAGAAGTACGTAGATGACAGATCGAGCGACGATTTAGGAGACTGAGTTTGAGTTCGATATATTGTTGAGTGGAGTTAGGGATGGACTAAACCGGGCCGGCCCGGGTCAGAACCGGCCTGGCCCGCTACTGTATGGGCCCGGATCGGACCGGGACTGGTTGGCCGGTTCCGGGCTTTTAGCCCGTTTGGGCGGGCCGGGCTCGGGCCCAGTTTTGGGCGAACCGGCCCGGGCGGTTCGAGCCGGGCCCGGGTCATTTTTTTTTAATTTTTTTCTTTTCCTATGGTAGGGCTGGGTGTTTTGGGGAGGTTTGGGGGTGGGGTGAGGGGGGGGGGGGGGAGTCGGGGGATAACAAGAAAGCAAAAAAAAAACAAAAATAGACATTGAACCGAGCCCAGCCCGGTTAGGCCCAGACCCGGTATCAACCCGGGCCGGTTCCGGGCCCAAGGATTTGCAAAAAAAGCCTGCCCGGGCCCGGCACGGAACCGGAACCGGACCGGCTCGAGTCCATCCCTAAGTGGAGTCATACTTCATTGTTGCCGAATGTCAAATGAGTATATATTTAACTCAAATGAGTATATGCTTAAAAGGTATGAACATACACAAATGAATATTGAGCATATTATAAATGAGTTTTATATTAAACTCAAATTAGTATAAATATAAAGCGCAAAATGAATGAGCATACACAAATGAGCTTTTGAATTTTTGATACTGATTTTGTAAGTTATGCATGCTCATTTGGTACCGTTTTATGCTCATTTTAAATTGTTGCACATTTCAAACGTATCTTCCTACATTAGAGTCACATATTGAAATTATAGACATAATTTAAGAACTTTTTATAAACGAAAAAACAATAAGAAGAAAGTGAATTAAAAAATATGAAGCAGAGAACACTAATGCTCATTCAAGAGAATCCGTATTATTCACCAAAATTACAAAATTACCACCAACTGTACGGCTGACACCGTACAACCGGTTGTATAATATACGCTTCTCATTTTTGTAGGGAGCCCGTTAGTAGTAGGGGTGGACTCGGGTCCGGGTCGGGCCACCCGGCCCAAGTCCATCCATAGTGAGTAGTGGTTATGATGTCATGTTCACTTATATGAATTCATAAAACTATTTCGTTGGATTCATTTGTGTAACCAGGACTCACTAAATTCTTGGAGCAATCAAGAAAAGAAGTCATTCATCTAACTTTATAATAAAATCTAACACAAAATGAGGGACTTGGATAATAAAATACATTTTGTCTATATACATAAAAAAAAAACCTACACAAACAACTATTCCCTTTCAAAAACCAGTATAGAACCGTTGCTAAACCATCAACTCATCAAGAGCCGGGACCAGTGGTATAACTACACTGTCACCCACTCCCCTGCTACTGCCCCACACCACAATTCAGGTGTGGTGTATAACTCACTTGGCAAGCTTATCCACGGACTTGAAAGTAGTACTCAAATATTCCGTATATCACAAAAAACAGTTTGAGAACTAAATAATCTTGGATGCGCTTGGACTCGTAGGTCCGTAATGTTAAATTAACTCATCCCCTTGTATAGTTAACGCTTATACAAAAAGCATGAAAAAGCAAGGTGAAAGAACCATTCGTTTTAGCTTCAAGCAAAGCTGTCCTATCAATAACTCACTTGACTTGACAAAACCTCAGAATGGATAAAAGCTCAAAACCATTCTCTTAAATGATCCTTCAAAATTGGAAAATGATTAAGCACCAATGGTCTGATAATCTGATTCATTTATGTGCCATAACTACGATCTCCCGCATCTCCAAGTCCGGGGATTATAAACCTGAAAATTGTAGTAGGTGCAATTGGTGAAATTAGTAAAGGTCCCAACTCCAAACCTCGTGTTGTTAAGTTAGCAATTAAAAGAAATGCTTTGAGCAAAGAAATACCCTTTCTCATTAACTTCAGAGTCAATAATACCAGCATAAACTTGAAGTCTGAAGGTTCACATAAGAAATAATAATGTCATCTGAGTCAATCATTAATAGCTTCGTTCTTTAACTTAGTAGACTTCAATCAAGTCGAAAATCTTACCCTGGAAATTTCTCACCGAGCTTTTGAAGAGCTGGAGGGGAAGCAACTGCAGATATCTGTAAGAAGCAGTTCATTTAGCTATATCACAACAAACAGAGCCTAAATATAGTCCTAGCAATTGCTTTCCCTAGAGAAAAGTGGTGTGATTGAATAGGAAAGGGATGTGAGCCCAGCCAAATAGCCAATAATTGGTGCACATTAAAATCCATCAGAAGCAGCCCTTTTGCATCTGATATGCTTGAAAGAAGTGAGCTTTTTAATTACCAGTTTGATTTGTTTGTTATTGACCCCGCGTTTCTTTATCAATTCAAGAGCAGCAACTACAGTGCCACCTAAAAACATGTAAAGATGTGCACATTAAGTTAGTTGTTAGTTATTATAAACTCCAATGGTGATAGTATTTGTGCATTAGTTGCCTAGTTGGTATATCATATCCGCCCACAGTACGAAACCACAAGTTCAACCCCCCATCTGCTCATTTGAATATTCACTCTCAATGTTAGGACAGATCCCATGCTAGAAATAATTAAGGTATGATGATCTATGCATGAAGCCATGAATATCAAATAAGATATATCATCAGGCCGAGAAACAATTTTAACAAACAGTTTTTAATGTAGAACTTCCTAGGTTCAAATAAGAAACTGTATTGTTTATCTTGAAAGATAGCAAATCCTACAATAACTAGTCCTCTCTCATTCCAATCAAGGTACAAGGTTTTACAACTAATGAAAACCCTAAAACTTATTCCCAAGATAGTCCCTCTGTCCCTAATGAAGCTCCCTTTTTGACTTCAAACGGTTTTTAATCAGGTGAAAACTTTAGTTGAAATTTATTAAGTGGAAAGGGCAAAATTGTCAACCACATAACATTTCCTAAAAAAGAAAGAGACAAGTTTGGGGTGCATTGATAAGAAAGAATGGAGATAAAGAAGGGACAGGAGGAGAAGTTTGAAGTAATTGACTAAACCTGAATAATGCTTGGCTTTATATGTATTTTAGTTAAAAATGGAAGTTGACTTTTAAAACCAGACACTTTCTTATTGGACAAAAAAAGTTGCATGACCCTCTTTGTTGGAAGAGGAGTATTATTTATAGTTTTAAATGGATATAAGCATGTGGTGTGATATTCTCAGTGAGAAAACTTTCACTATGCAAATAATCTTTGGACCAGAAGTAAACGGATCTTTACCAGTAGCCAGCATAGGGTCAACAACAAAGACACGAGAACCATCTGGAAATTTGTCAGGTAGCCTGATGGATCCACATGAAAGGTAGTGAGAAAACTTGTAGATAAGGTTATTTAAATGCATTTCATGTTCAACTATACCAGTAAGAATTATGCAAGAGGCAAAAAAAGAGGCTTAAAGGTGTAGTGTAGCACACTAATATTATGTAACACATTGAAGGGCCACCAACAATGGAAGAAAATATTTCCAGCTTTGAGAAGAATGCCTACTTGTTCAAGTATATAGTTGGCTGAAGGGTTTCTTCATCTCTGCTAATTCCTTCAATTTGAATTGAAGACAAATACCAACATAGTAGTGGTCAACAACACATAAGATAAAAAATAAAGATCATAAATTGAGAGTGAATTGTTGAGTACTCCATATAAAAATAAGAACATTAGGTACAATTAGGATAATAACTGCTGTTGTTTTTAAAGGAGGATAATAACTACTGTTATCATTATTCTTATTACTATTATAGTATTTTTAACATATTATTGTTGTTGTTGTTTTACAAATGCCATGTGTACAAGAATTGTAAATGCATAGGATAAAATTTCATACATTACCTATTGTGTTGTTGTGATAGCATAGGTCAAACAAATAGACAAATTGCAAGGATTGTCAGACTCGCTTACCCAGATGATACGTTTTTGTTGCTGGCAGGATAGATGATGCATACTCTGCAAGAGCTAGGCCAGCTCTCAAGATAGGAACTATCTGAAAATGAGGCGACAGAAAGTTACGTAAGTATAAACTAAAGGTGGAATAATAGTCATAGGACATTTGGAATTTAGGACCACTTCTTGAAGATGGGATTGATACTGAAAAAATGCAATACTAACCGCAACAGGTTCCCTTGGATCAATAAACTCAACAGATGCAATAGCCATCGGTGTATGAATCTCACCAGTTATGGTTGGCTGGAAATAATGGTAAAGAGTAATATCAGCACTGCAAGAAAGAAGGTCCTACTAATTTGTCAGAGAATGTGTTATAAAAGCATGATAACGTAATCCCTTAATCCTAACAAAGTAATCCTTTGTTCGAATTATTCCAGTCAACCATCAGTGCATCCAGCATCTCAATGTAACTCACCAACCAATCTCTTGATGCTTCATACATCAACAATCTTCCTAGCTCAGCCATTGCATTTTCTGTTATTGTAATCAAAGAAAAAGGTTAAAATGGTTCATGAGAAATTAGATCATTTGATTTGGAAAATAAAAGTGGGGGAGCTAAAAGTAACATTCATGAAAGTCGAACAGTAGAAGGCATGCTGAGATGTGATGGAGTATATAACAGGTACTACTTAATGCATCCAAAACATGAAGCATTTGGGAAAAAGATCACATGGTTGATGAAACATTTTGAGCACCTAATTTGAAAATTAAGAGTAGATGCGCTAACAATAACACTACTCTATGTAAAAGGCACGCTGAAATTAGGGTTCATACCAAGTACTACCCAATGTATCCAAAACAAGCAGCATTTGGAAAACACAGAAATGTCAGCCATTACATGATAATAATATATTCTAAAAAAATGCAAAGTTTGCAATTTTACATTTGAAATGATTTTATATGCAAAAGTGAATGAAACAAACCACAGGAAGAATGCATGCAAAGCTAAAAGAATAAGTATATGAACATATTCTAAATCAAATGCAGCAGACAGCCACACATATATTGTACTTTGAAGTTTTAAGTAGACTGGAATGTTTATACACAAATAAATCAGCATTTCTTACTTTCAGCATTAAACACATGAACAAAAATCCAAATAAATTCGAGAAACTGTTGAAATTCAACCAATTGGTGAATTAAATAAAAAAATCACGTACTGAATATTGGACAAGGCGTCTGCTCATTCCGGAGAACAGAAACCCAGTGTTTTATCAAAGGATGCGGCGGAACAATCACCTAAAGCATTGAACAGAGTTAATCTCATTCAAATCACATCAATACTGATCCTACATTTTCTCCGGACGCATTATCTAGGAAGCCAAACATAACGCAAGTAACTCACCAGCATTCGCTCTTCAGACATTGTTCTCTTCTCCGACGTTGTCGCACACTTCAGTGCGCCGCCGACCCTTCTTCGCCCACTATCTTGAAACAAAATCTCAGTCTGACATATATGAGCAATGGAATTAATAAAAATTGCTGCAGCAGCAAAATGAATCTTCATTTACATGTGTGTGTAGATTAGTTGAGGCATACCTTGAGATGGAGCTGGGGTAAGAAGAGGGAATGATTCGGTGAGGGGGCGATTAGGCGATTATATGCAGAGGAGGGAGGACAAATTGCCGAAGTACGGCGGTAATTGAGGTTGGGAACAATATTAAGACGGCAATGAACCGCCATTTTAGACAAAGAGCATCAAAGCCGCGATGATTGGATATTGTTGTTTGGGTCGACGAAGAAGGTCGTACAGTAACTACAGGTAGGGGCGTCCTTATGTACAGGGACGCCATTTAAGGGATAATTGATATGACGAAGGTAAGAAAAAAATAGAAATTTAAATACAAGAAATTACTCGAGGAGAAAAAATATTTTGGATTTTTAAGAGAAAAACATTTATTTTATCCTCTGAATATGAAAGTAACATACTTTATTTTCGGGAGAACTACCAAATAAGCTCTCAAACTTTCATAAAAAGTTAAAATAAGTCCGTTTATAGGAGGCTCTATCCGGCCGTCGATATTTGGGGCGCTTTCCGTTGGAACTTTTCGATGAAAGTTTTTGAGCATCTTCTTCATTAAATCTAGTTTACACATACCAAATTTCAGCTAAGAATTCAATCGGGAAGGCAGTCAAATGAATTTTTGAAGATAACTGCGCAGTTAGGCAGCGCAGTATATTTCAGAAAATCATTTGACTTCCTTCTAGATTGAATTTTTAGCTGAAATTTGGTATGGGTAAACTAGACTTAATGAAGAAGATGCTCAAAAAAATTCATCAAAAAAATCCACCGGAAACCGCCCCAAATGACGACAGCCGGACAAAACCTCACGTAAAAGAGCTTATTTGCACTTTTTACGAAAGTTCGAGGGTTTATTTGATAGTTCTCCCTTTTTTTGAAAGGGAAAATAACATACTCTAATTTAAGAAAAAACATAGTAATCGTTTTTAGAATTTTGCATTGTTTTTACTTAGAATTTTCCCTTTAAGAAAAAACATAGTGAAAAACTTGCCGAAAGAAATGGTATGGTCTATGCAGATTTTTTTATTCGGGGCAAACACTTATTTCATATGTCGATTCATGTTAATCGATAACAATCTCTTTTGAAACTAGGACTGAGTTGTTGTTATTGTTCTCCTTTTTTCTTTCTTTCAATTATCTTAAAATTACAATGAATTTGTTCAAGTTTCTTATCTCTCTTATCATCCTATAGTTAATTAGTTATCTTAAATTGTATTACCTCCGTCCCAATGGACTTTGCATTCCTTAAGTTAGGTGAGAAATAAGAATAGTAAAAATTGTGTGGTTCAAATTTGTGCAGAGGAGAGAGAAATGAGTAGAACCACAAAATAGTTACTTTAATGGGAAAGTAACAGAGTTTTTGGGGACAACCAAAAAAGAAAAAATTGCAAAGTCCAGTGAGACGGAGGGAGTATATCAATTTAGGGAAAAATGTCAAATAGTGCCTCGTATTCTACCTAAAAAGCTAATTGAACTTTTGTACCCAGTAATCACCCAATTAAGCACCACAATTTTAAAAACGCTCATATCACCACCCAATCAATCTCCGAACTATAAAAAACAGGGCCATCTTTTAGCATGTTAATTACGTTAAACATAACAGGGCCCCACTTCTCATGAGCCCCCATATTTATAAGGCACTAGTAGTATTATATTTAGGCCACTAACATTAATTAAATAATTATATAATATAATGTTCTCATAAATTGAAACACTTTACAAAAAAATGTAGAGATTAATTATTTGAAAGAGGGGAAATTACTACATGTAAGTATTTAATTGAATTGCTTAATGAGTATTCTATTGATTTGAGTATAATAAAAATTTAGATCAAGAATTTTTTAGTTTTTTATATTAAAAGAGTGCCTCAAATTTGCATTTAGAATAGAGACCTCCAAATTCATTTGACGGCCCTCATAAAAAACAATCAATGATCATAGTTGGACAACAACTCCTAGCATATTGTCATATTTGGATGACAATGGTCAGATGTATTCTTGCTAGACGTTCAATGCCAGATCCACATTTTCTGAAAGGATACTCGTCAGATCAAGAGAGAAGCCCAATAGCCAGAAGTAAGCGGCAAAGAAAGGCATAGGTCAATGGGGCCCTGCCTATTGTGCTTGCCTACATGGATATATTATAAGCCTTTGAGCGACAGGACGAATGTCCGAGTCAAAGGTCAGCCCGGACCAAGAGTGTTAGTCCTTGAGAACCCCAATTGACCTTTGCTAAAAATTATAAGATAAAATATTTATAATTATATACACTATATCATACTAAGGTTATAAAGGTAAGACATATTCTCATTTTTAATTGAATAGTGATAATATATAACAAGTATAGAAAATAATAATATTGTTCTAAATATACAATTCGTAACAAAAATCAAAATTCATTTTTAGTCGAATAAACAATAGGTGTAACTGTTGGAATAAATCCGATAATATTTTAATCTTTATATTGGAATTATCTAGAGAAATAACTGAGCGGAAGCATATCTGACTTCATAAGAGATGATCCATAGAGATCCGGGAGACAGATGTTAGGGTTTGCGTCTTCTAGTTGATACACCTCGAGAATTATCTCTCTAGCAATGAGATGAAGAAAGACGGAATGACATGCTCAACTAGGGGCATAACCCTTTTATTTATAGAGGGTTGGCATAACCCTAATCAATCCATCATGAATTAGACTAAGCTCACGGGTCTCTACGCATTTGGGCCTTATACCTTATTAAATAACATATTAGCCCACTTAAATTAATATTCATAGGACCACTAATTTTTGGGTCTAAATATAAGATATCATATAACATACAATTAAACCCAATGAATAATGTATTGTGAATATTACATGTAGTATGAGTCCACTAAACTAACAATCTCCCACTTGTGTATACACAATCTTTAATATTGTTTTTTACCCTAGGGGGCGTCTGCGGGGGGCCTGGAGTAATCAGGGCTGAAACTCACTCCATTGAGTTTCAAACCCTTTATGTGCCTAGCAGGTTTCGAACTCGAGACCTCTCACTAGGCACGGTAACCTCGCAACCAGGTAGACTTTAATATTGTATGTTTACTTTAAGAGCTCCAAAATTTTGCTATCAAATTGCAGTTATCTTTAATCTATTTGATCCATTAATTACGTCCAATTACATCAACATAGGACCAAAGAGGTCTTTGTCATATTCGCATAACTAGACCCATCAATGATCACATATATTAATATAATAAATGACATGAATCAAGTATAGGTGTGTAGCGTGGAAATAACATGAAGTGTGATTTGGAATAAAATGTCTATTTCCAACTGGTCCACCTTGAAATTAATAATACAACTGTAATAGTACATAAAACTTTAAACTTTAAACTTTATTTTTGCAGAAAAATAACCTTAGAAATGAACTAACAAAATATAGAAACATTACAAACTCCCACTAAAACTCATAATCCTCAACTGATTTGACACCCATTTGAGCAACATGCTCATGAAACACTTTTGGGTGGTAATCCTTTAGTGAAAGGATCCGCAATCATGGAGTTTGTGCTAATGTGTTCTATAGATAACTTTCCTTCTTGTACTCGTTCTTTAACAGTTTTAAATTTGACCGCAATGTGTTTTGCTTTGGTCAAACTATTGTTGTTCTTAGCATAGAGGACTGCTGACCTATTATCACACAATAGCTTAAGTGGTCTTTCAATGTTGTCAACTATGCGCAGTCAATAAACAAAATCTCGTAGCCATAATGCCTGATTGGATGCCTCGTAACATGCTATAAACTCTACTTCCATGGTGGAAGTAGCTGTTAGAGTCTGCTTGATACTCCTCCAGGAGATAGCTCTTCTAGCTAGAATATAGATGTAGCCTGAAGTGGATTTCAAGGAATATTGACATCCAGCAAAACCAGAGTCAGTATGCCCAATGATCTCAAGCCGATCTGATCTCCGATATGTGAGCATATATTCCTTTGTTCTTTATAAATACCGCATGACCCTTTTGGCTGCTTTCCAATGGTCCATATCCGGTTGCTCAAATATCTGCCTAACATTCCAACGATGTATGCTAAATCAGGTCTTGTACAAACATGAGCATACATCAAACCTCCTACAGCCAAAACATAAGGAATATTCCTCATTTCTTAAGATTCAAAATCACTCTTAGGCCACTACATTAGACTAAATTTGTCTCCCTTCGAAACTAGGGTATCTCCTTGTTTGCAGTCTTGCATGCCAAACCTTTTGAGAACCTTATCGATATAGCTCTTTTGTGAGAGTCCAAGAACACCTTTGGGGCGATCTCGATGTATTTGAATTCCTAATACAAAAGAAGCCTCACCAAGATATTTCATTTCAAAATTCTTTGAAATTAATCTCTTAGTTTCGTGCAATAAGCCTATATCATTGCTAGCAAGCAGTATGTCATCAACATACAAAACCAGGAAAATATATTTACTCCCACTAAACTTGTGTTATATACAATCATCGTTGACATTCGATTGAAAACCAAAAGATATAATGACTTTGTGAAACTTGTGATACCACTGATGAGAAGCTTGCTTGAGCTATAAATGGTTTTCTTTAATTTGCAAATCATTTTCTTTGGATCTCTTGAAACAAAGTTTTCTGGTTGCTCCATATAGATTGATTCCTTAATGTCACCATTGAGAAATGCAGTTTTTACATACATTTGATGAAGCTCAAGATCAAAATGTATCACTAATGCCATTATTGTTCTAAAAGACTCTTTCGAAAATACTGGAGAGAAAGTCTCTTTATAGTCAATTCCTTTCTTTTGAGCGTAGCTTTTAGCAACTAGACGAGCTTTAAACCTTATAACATTGCCTTTTGAATCCCTTTTGATTTTAAATATCCATTTACAACCAATGGGTTTAACACATTCAAGCAATGAGACAAGCTCCCAAACGTCATTGTCACTCATAGACTTCATCTCATCTTTCATGGCATTAATCCATTCTTGAGAGTTAGACCTTTCCATGGCTTGACGGAAGTTGATTGGATCATCTTCCACAAAACCAACATCTGATTCTTGTTCTTGGAGGAAGACAATTATTTCTTCCACCAATTCCCAATTTTCCTCATGTTCTTGGAGAGATATACAATATAATCTTCTGGAATTGCACTTCTCCTCTCTCGAGTGGATCTCCTCAATGACACCTCAGGTTCTTGAGGTTGTTGAGTTTGATCTTCACAAATATTTTCATGTACTTGATTGGGGAGGTTTTCGAGATTGTCCTGAACTGGAGTTGTTTCTTGAACATCATTAGGAATAAAAATATCTTGATCATGTTCAATGACAACTGAAGGAAGAGTAACATGCTCTTAACATGCTCTTTTTCAAGGACAAAATCTCTAACATTATCTCCCCACCCCCAAACTCAATATCCTCAAACAGTCGAACATTACCCATCTCAAAAATAGTCCTGGTAGTGGGATCATAAAACTTATACCCCCTTGACTTCTCAGAGTATCCTACAAAATAGCTACTAATTTTCATTTGGCCTATAAGGCCTCATCTCGACAACCCCAAACATGGAAATGATTTATACCGGGGTTCTTTCCAGTCCAAATTCCATAAGGGGTTTTAGTTGTAGCTTTAGTGGGAACTCTGTTGAGTATGTAAGCTGCAGTTTTCAGTGTCTCTCCCCTGAGTGAATCTGGTAAAGTAGTATCACAAATCATACTCCTAATCATGTCCTTCAATGTGCAGTTTCGTTTCTTAGCAACACCATTCATGCTAGGAGTTCCTGGCATGGTGTGCTGAAGAACAATCTCACACTCCTCTAGGAATTTAGCAAAGGCCATGGACGTTGTTCAAAGGAACCATCATATCTATCATAGTATTCATCACCACGGTCATATCTAACGGTGTTTATTCTTTTGCCTGGTTGATTTTCAACTTCAGCCTTATAAGATTTGAACACGTCTATTGATTGAGACTTTTCATGAATGAGGTAAAAGTAATCATAACGAGAGTAATCATCTATGAATGTGATAAAATATATTTGAGCATTTCTACATGGTGTAGGAAATGGTCCACAAATGTCTCTATATATCAATTCTAATATATCTGAAGCTCTCTCGACACCTAATCTCCTTTTGTTCGTTTGTTTTCCCTTAACACACTCAACACAAATGTCAGAATTGGAGGAGTCAAGGGAATCGAGAATTCCATCTCACACAAGTCTCTGAATTCTTTGTTCAAAAATATGTCCTAAACGCTTATGCCAAAGTGATAATGAATTCTCATTGGCTAATTTTCTTTTAGTACCACGAGTACTTAAATGTAAGGTTTCATTATATGAGCCAATTATATCAAGTGAATATGAATTATCATAAACTGATAAAAGACCAACACCAATAAGTTTTGAATCTTGATATAGACTAAACTAACTATTTCCAAATGAACAAGAATAACCAAATTTGTCCAATGCAGAAATATAAATTAAATTCTGCCTAAATGACGGAACAACAAATGTGTCTTTCAAATCCAAATAAAAACTTGACTTTAATAATAATAATAATCTAAAAACACCAATAACCTCAACTTCAACCCGTTTTCCATCACCAACATAAATGTATCTTTCACCATCAATTGGTTTTCGGCAGCTCAGGCAACCCTGCATATATAAACTTATGTGAGTAATAGCACCAGAATCTACCCACCAAGTGTCTTTGGGTACCCAAATTAAATTAACCTCAGAACAAACAAGAGCAAGAGACATATCCTTTTTCGCACGCCAGACGTGGTACTTAATTAGTGCAGTTCTTTTTCTTGTGATTAGTCCCTTTGTAAAAGAAGCATCCAGATTCCTTAATTTCTTCCTTAGTTTCCTTATGATGCTTTCTTTGAGGCTGAATTTACAGCTTCCTTAATTTTCCTTTTCTTGCTGCTCTTATAGGTAGATGCCAAATGAACACTTTCAGTCTTTTCTTGCTTTATTCTTTCTTCCTCTTGAACACAATGAGAAATTAGCTCATTGAGAGCCCATTTCTCCTTAATGCAATTGTAACTGACTTTAAATTGGTTAAATTGAGAAGGAAGAGAGATCAAAACTAAATACACAAGCAACTTCTCAGGTAAAATTAGCTTTAGTGAACTTAATTTTGAAGCAATGTGAGACATTTCCAAAATTGTACTCCCTTATGTTCCCTTTTCCTTTATACTTCACGAAAACAAGATTGCTGAAAAGATTACTAGTTTCCGCCTTTTCATTTTTACCAAAATGCTTTCAAATTCGGCAAGGAACGATTTGACATCAGCCTCATCAGACATTGTGTCCCTGAAAGATTTTGGAATTGCACGTCTCATGATCATTAGACTCATGCAGTTTGAGCGTTCCCACCTCTCCATCTCCCTCTTTTCATCAAGGGTAGATGTATCCTTAAGAGCAGTATGTTTCTCAGTCCGGAGTGCAAGGTCTAGATCCATGCAACCGAGAACAATCACAACGTTCTCTTTCCATTCCTTAAAATTCATGTCGTTAAACATAGGGATGCTATTAATATTAGCAGATATTGTACCAGCAGAATTGTTGACTGAAAGAGAACAAAAAATAATATAAATGACATGCTCTAGAAACTTAAATAAACTTGATAATTAATTTTAAATTTAAATATTAGCAATCTTCATCACAAGATACCTAGCGCAACGTCCAATCCTGTCTTTGAACATGAATTAAACTTCCAAGTGGTACTCTTGGTGTAATAATAAAACTTTGATAAAAAAATCATGTCAAATACTAAGCCTCTCTTTGGACCGACTTAATAGTCACATGAAAACCTCATAATTATCACAAATCTTATTATCACAAATGTACTTAGATTTTGGCCAAATAATAACCTTCCTTTGGGCCGATTATTATCCGCATGAAATAAGAAAGCACACAATCATCTTAATATATGAGTCAAATAATTTCAATAAGAGAGACTACTTTGACAGCATGTTGTGTCAATTAACCAACCCAAATATTAGGCATGGTAATGTTAAATAAAGAAATTGAAAAATAAAATTGGGCGAAATTTTCTGAGTCGCTTGCAAATGTGTTATGTGTAACGATAATTTGTAAACCCCGTACCCAATCGTCGTGCGATCGCAAAATAGTTTTATACACCCATAACACATAATACATATTTTTCATCCCACAAAACACAATGACCAAAAAAATAATCAATTCCAGTAATGTCCAAATCATGTATTTCTGATAGAACTAATATGTTGGCCGTAATTACATATAGGTATTTAATTAACAAAGTCAGTTAATTGACAAAAAATAATATAAATGACATGCTCTAGAAACTTAAATAAACTTGATAATTAATTTTAAATTTAAATATTAGCAATCTCCATCACAAGATATATAGCGCAAACTCGCAAAGTCATGGCCTGGAGCGGTTCATGAAAATCATGGCCCGGAACCGGCCCGCCAGAACCGCCAAACCGGGCTAAAGCCCGAAACCGGCCATCCAGGCCTGAGCCGGTCCGATTCCGGGCCAGTTTGGCCCGACCCAGTCCACCCCTACCCTAACTCCCTAAGCATATTTAAGCCTACAATTTACAAAAACGTGAAATTCGCCGTTTGAAACTTTGCAACCGATCTTTTGTGAGTGGGACACCGAGTGTTTAGCACTTTAGCTTTACGAAAAAACGAAAAAGCATGCTTTGAGCATAAGCTTTGTTTTTCTGAAGGAGCATAAGCTTTGTTAATTTTCCATTTCTTTGAAGTTTTTTCAGTATAAAGCAAAAGAACTGATTTTCATCTTTCAAGGTATTTGAACTTGTAACTTTACATGTCTTCATATGTCTGTGTGTTGATAGCTTGGTGCAATTTCATTTATTATTATAACTTTCTTTCAAAATGGTAGAGTATGCAATTTTACTAGAAAATCACCAATTTCATTGGATATAGGGGATGTTTGGATCTGATTTTTAAAACTGTTTCTGCTCCTCCACAGAATAGAAGTAGAAGTTGGAGTGTTTGGGTGAAAGTGCAAAAGTGATTCTGGTGCTCTAATTTACTCCTAGAATCAATTTTTTTAGAAGCTGGGGGAGACCAGCTTCTGAAAACTGATTTTGATTCTACTTCTACTTTAAAAAAGAAGCAGAATCAGAATTGGTTCCAAACACCCCCACATTGGTGAGTAATTTTATATTCCGTATATTTTTTATAGACCTAGATTTAATATGTTGGGAACTAGTTGAGATTTTTTTTTAGGCCTTAATAATTGGTGAAAATCGGCCAAGGAACTATTGTCTGATTATGTTTTGAGAATCAGCCACATAGTAAAAGAATAGAATAGTCAAACCAGGAACACCATGCAAGAAATTTCCAAATCGAGAAGTTAAAGAACTTTAAACAGTAGAACATGGAGGAATCCTGATAAATGTTCAGCATTATCCACACCCAAAACAAAATAAAAATTGTCTTAATTATGAACTGATGAAACAAGACTGAAAGGCCAACCGCTTCTTTTCATAGTCCCCTACATGCAAAGGCATGATTAGCTGCAAACTTAGATTTCACCATCCCAGAGTTCTTCAAGATTTTTGTATGAGCCATAGGTCTCACTCACAAAAGTTGTGCCTCTAATCAGTCTTGCCTGCAAATATTATTTTAGCCAGTTATGGCACTTATGTGATGCCACCATTTTCTCGACAACGACAACCATATACTCAAAAAAATACTTTTTTTAAAAGATGGGCTTTTGAAAAGAGTACGTAATTATTATTCTCGCCTATACTTCTATAGGAGTAAAAATCATGAGAGAGAGCAAATAATTAATTAAATATGAAAAGGAAAAATTATCTAAAATTCTTAATTGATCACTCCCTTGGTCCCAAAATGAATTTCATGCTTCTTTTTTCTCCCAAAATAAATTTCCCTTTCCTTTTTAAAAGAGATTGTGTGGTTTACATTGTCTCTTTCTTTCTTTGGAGAAAGCTGCACCATTTTTACTTTCTTGTTCCCAGTGCCAAGTCAAAACATGATACTCCTATAATAATGGGACAGACGGAGTACTATTATGAAAGAATTAAATAAGCGCTTCTTGCCTGCTCAATTTCAGAGAACTTGGCCATTAGGTCATCAGGTATAGACCAGTCAAAGACGTCAAAGTTCTCTTTGATCCGTCGTTCATTTGTGCTTTTGGGAAGCACACTGTTTCCCATCTGCAAGCCCCAGCGAAGACAAACTTGTGCAGGGGTTTTCCCCAACTTCTCAGCAACCGAGAGCACAACTGGATGAGTAATCACATTACTCTTGATCCATGTAGTGCCTGGAGAACCTAGTGGTGAATATGCCTGAAAGAAAGAGAAAAAAATTACTACAATAAGGTGTTGTTTGAATCAACCATCTATAGTACACAACATTGATAAAATCTTCATACGGCCCACCAACTGAAATGAATGATAATGAATGATAAAACTCACAGAGAGGTGAACTCCTTTTGATTTACAGAACTCTCGCAGTTTGCTTTGCTGCCAAGAAGGATGGCATTCCACCTGATTAACAGCAGGAGGAACACGGGCAACTTCCAGAAGATCCCCCAGCTTCTTTGTCGAGAAATTACTCACTCCGATGGCTCTGGCTTTACCAGAGTCATGTAGTGCTTCCATGGCTTTCCAAGTCGCAGGTATATCGGTTGGTGCAAGGTTTTCAGGGGCAAAGCCTACCGAGTCCTTCTTCATCCGTACAGGCCAATGTATCTACAAAAAAGGATCTAATCAAGCAAAACCAAACCAATTCAAACAATACTACACAGTTTCCCAGTCGATGGGGTCAGTTAAATACGAAAAAAATACTGAATAAGAACAGAATATATACTCTGTATATGGAGTTCAATTTACCTCACAAACATTTTCATCTAGAAGCTCAGGGCTTGTTCAGTATCACTGTCAGTTTTCTGTTTTGTGTTTTACGATTGTAAGAGTTATAACTGGTATGAAATAGGTTATCTAATGAACTGCCAACAAACAGCAGAAAAACACTTTTTCTGGTTTTCATAATTTTGTTTGGCTGAAAAATAACCAGAAAACGAGCAGGTTACAATAATGAACGAGCCCTCAGATAGAATAAATGATCTTCGATATGTATTCTGTTATATACCGAAATTTCTAGAGTATCATTTTGTTGTCATTCCATAAAATAGTCCGATGACAATCTGAATTAAAAAGTACTGGAATTTAAACTAGGAGAACCTGTGAATGTTAGAAAGGTGAAGGTTACTAAAACATATTGAAGAGCCATACATACAAGGAACAAATCAATGTAACCAAGTTGCAAGTCTTGCAGAGTTTGGTTTAGTGCAACTGGTACATCTTCTGGTACGTGATCCCTACACCTGCAATTCCAGATTAAGAGAACGGGTACTAAGATTTTAGAGAATGGATGTAACATATAAGATTAGGTACACCTGGTATCTTATAAATGCCACATGGTCTAAGAAAACGGATATTACATTAGGTGGGTACCGTCAATTTCAGATGCCAAAAGATTAATGTATAAAGACAAGTGTAAACCCATTTTAAAATCTGTTATGACAGAGAAATTAAGTGAGTATTTGCATGCTTGAACGAGGAATAGAGACATGCTCAATCAAATAATGTATTCACTGTTTAACACAAGTCAAATAGTCCTAAACCTCTATGGGCTATGGCAACTACTATCTATACTCTAGCAAAAAAACTTCAATGCTGTAAATGTGATCTTGACTCCTTACTGTTGACTTCATCAAGTGGCCAATTAACTTCCAAGTTCTAACTACTGAAAAGAATATATAAATATGTGAGTGCATTGTACACAGATTCACATGGTGACCGGGAAGAGGAATATCTTAGATACCATTAGTTCTTGTCTTCTTGAATGGGATAAAGCAAAGCTATGTCAGAAACAGCTTAATAGTTATATGGTACCATATAATACCAGAGTTTGGAGGTAATGAACAAATCTTCCCTCTTAACCACACCATCTGCAAACAGCTTCTTCAGAACTTCACCAATCTTGAAATAGTAAAATAAAATTAGCTAGCAAAAAAAGAGTGTAAGAAAGAGACAAATTAAAATCAGTCCTACACCACTTATAGTTTAGATGTAACATCGTAATCCCCAGCTAGGCATTAAAAAACGTTCAGGAGTCCATGATGTAAGCATATATTTAGAGCTAACAATATTTTAGGCACAAAATTAACATTGAGCACAAATTCCAATTAGGATGATCACTTATCCTTTATGGTGAGAACACGAAGCACAACTCCAATACTTAACATCATTATGGATTACCAATGTTGGCTCTCACATGAAATATGAAAGCAAAGGGTTCAACAATGGACATCTATAAGCTTTTCATTAATAAATATTAATAAATATTTATAATATGAAAGTTATATATTTCTTAACGACGCAGAACTTATCAGTATAAAGAGATACCGCAGATGAACTGCTCCACAACGAACCCGAGCCTTAGAAATAAAAAGCGCAAGGAGTACACAAATTCTAATTAGAATGATCACTTGTCCTTTATAGAGAGAACAAGAAGCACTGCTCCAATAGTTTAAATCATCACAGATTACCACATTGTTGGCTCAAAAATGAAATATGAAAGCACAAGGTTCAAAGTTCAAACATATGTTTAATGATGCAGAACTGAGAAGTAGAAATAAACACCCCAGAAGTACTGTTCCAACACAAACCAGAGCATAAACCTCAAATCAGTGAGGTATATGTAAACTAAGAAATTATCCTATCCTATTGGATCATAAAGAATATAAAAAAAGTACTGCCCTATATAGTAGAATGCAGGATATAAATTGTCCATGTGTGATATTTTTAGGTAAAATACTGAGCACCAAATACCTCTTTCTCGTTGTTATAAGCTCGAGCACCATCAATGTGGCGATATCCAGCCTGCAAAGTAAGTAAATGTGATTGTTTGGTCAGGCCTATCAAGACTTTGACTTGGAAGACCATTATGCACTTCCTAAAGCATCAAGAAATTGCTGATACATAACTTTGTTTTTCATTTTCGATCACCACATGACATAAATTATTACGGAGTATTATATAATGAATGAATAATATTGATTTTTTGGGAAAGAAATTTAGGCTAAATGTGCTATTTTTCAGGCTGCTGATATAAAATCAAATCATTGCCTTACCACCTTACATCATAAGAGACAAGTATTGTAGTTTATAAGAAAACAACAGTTGATAGCTCTTGAAAATTTGAGCTATGAACCCAAGATGGGGATGATGAGTGAAGGAAAACACAGATCTGGTAATGTAGAGGTAAAAGTGCAAGATGTAACTATGTAAGTCTCCTATACACACAAAGCTACTCATGCAAGAGAACTACAATGGCCCACACTCTAGGACGGTGGGCCAACCTCATTGATGGAGTGATGCAAGTCAACACTAGGTCACCCACGGGCCAATCTTGTAGCCAACTAGTATGTATGCCATTTCGAGCCCCCCCCCCCCCCCCCCCCCCCTCCTCTAGAACAACAATGCAGTTCCTGACAGAGATAAACACAAATACTTCACCAAACTGAAGTATTGTCCTATTGGGCACACAGAGTCTACAAAGCCACTCATGCAAGAGAACTACAATGGCCCACACCATAGGACAGTGGGCCAACCTCTTTGATGGAGTTATGGAAAGTCAACACCAGGTCACCCATGGGCCAATCTTGTAGCCCAACTAGCATGTACGCCATCACGATCTCCCCCCGTCGAGAACAACAATGCAGTTCCCAACAGAAGTACAAGACGATCTTCACCAAAATGAAGGCACTCAGAGTCTAACTTACGTGTACGGCACGAGAAATATATAAAATAAGAAATCAACTTTTTATTCAACCATATAACTATATAAGATTCATTATGCTAAACTAGAACTGTTTCCTGTTACTGATATTTCTGTTGACTCAGAAGTCAGAAGCTGGCTACAAGTCCTATTGTGCATCCGTGCATCTCAGGGTCTGGAAAGAGGTACCAAGTGTGGTGTGGGTCAAACCAAGAACAGGCCAATGGAAAGTGAATGCAAGACATAGAAGTGATCAGTCCTTTACAATTTGCAAAGTCATGCCCCTAATCCTTAGACCACAAACAGACTGCATCAAATTTAGAGTGGCAGGTGGATGCTAAAGTCAACGCCTGCACGAAGCAGCAATAACTAAATGAAACCTGCAACCACTTCACAAGGGTTCCCACTGGACAATCTTAGGCTTAGCAGAAACAATGACAGCATCGCCTCTTAGAGCTGAGCTCATATCCTGCAAAGTCCATTCTCTTTTTACTTCTTCTCTGTCTACCTTTTCCCCTTTTTTTGAACCACAAATTGGGAAGAAAAATGAAGAAATGAAGGATGAGACACAAGTTACAAACCTCCAACATATACAACACTACTCAAGGTTGAGAACTACAGCGTACAGCACTCTAGGCTGATTGGTTGAGATCCTGGATAGCTGGTCTACATTTCTATATCTTAATGCATGAACGAATAGCACATAACTTAGTATTTTTTTACTTCTAATAAAGAATCAATTACAACACTTAGAGATCTAGCATTCTAGCTAGATCGCTTTGTAGGCTTACAGATTATGATTGAGATGAGACTTCATTTGGAAATAGTACAAAAATACACCTTTAAGTTCAAAAGAGATTTCATTTGCCAGTACAAGACTATTTTACAGAACACGGACAAAATTATCATCAAGTGGCCTTTTCATAACGGCTAATTCAATGAATTCTATACACGCACAGACTACACTGTTGGAAAACAATAAAAAGGGGCCTAATATGTAATTAATTAAAATGTGTTTACCATCAGATAAATAATACAGTGGCTATTCATGAAATAATAAAAGTGTAGATACTGGGATAATATATTTCTTTTGGTGACGGGTCAAATTAAATATATTATACTAAAGTGATACAACGGTTATGACCCCCGATGCATGTAAATAACGAGATAATTGTAACGACATAGTAACGGAAAATAGCCTAATAAATTATTCTACTTATTGTAGCAATAATGTAGGAATTAGAAAGGTTAACCGTTACTATTCTCAAATTAGTCCTATAAATACCCATCAATTATAGGATTAAGCTTTATCTCATAAGCTACATAGCATTGGAAGGTTAGGCCGATCAATCGTGTTGGATTCCTAAGTCTTCCTAAAGTGTTAATGCAAATGAATTCTCAAGGTATTGTTCTAATCTTATTTCATACATATTTGATTTCATGGATTTATATGGATTTAGCTATTATATATTTATATATATATTGCATATGGAGCCTTGTTGATATGTATATGAATATCCATCAATTGGTATCAGAGCCTACCATTATAAATTCATGGAATTCATCCTTAATCAGCATATGTATTCATCGATATATTTGGAATTTCATTTGAACTGGTGATATCCGAAGTTTTTTTGTATGAACCGTTTTGATCATGTATGTGCCCGTGATCGTTGGATAAGTGCAGTGATGATTTGTGAGTTTTTTTTTTACCGACCGGAACTTTTCCGCTGCATGTTTAATTGTTACCAGTCAAGTATTTTAAATTTTGTCTATAAAACTTTACTTTAGTATTGATATAATATACTACTGATATAAAATTGTGGTATCATATCAATAATTGAGTGTATAGGCATATATGGTACTATTGAATAGTAATTGTACTCCATTCTTACTCGTAGTGGATAATTTTTTTTAAGCTATATGAAATGGTTTATGCCCTTTATTTGCAAGGGTGCAGTCTAATCCTATGAACATACATGCTTACACATATACTCGTATTAGTATATATAATGCTGCTATATTATGAATTAAGTCATCTTTTTAGACCTTTAATGATATAGTACGACTGTATTGAGTTGTGAGTTCATTGGTTATTGGATTTTGAATCAAGTTGATGTTTGAAAGTACTCCGTATTAAGTATGTTTATTAAGAAAGAACCGTTTCATGTATGTATAATTATTGATTGATTAATGATTTGTTAATTTTTTTTTACTTCCCGCTGCATGTCTCAATCTTTAATGCTTCATTTTGGCATGAATTTTTTTGGCCTCTGCATTAATACTGCTAAACTGTTACGGAGTAATTGAATATTTTATTCACAAGTGGAATTTGTCTAGCACTAGCTATGTCAAGATTGGCAAGCGTTTTTTTTGTATTTCTTTAATGCTCGGATGTAACAAGTATGTTTGCATTGAATTGTGTCTGGGTGAATTTTTGTTTTTTTTTCAAATTTGCTTTCATTAAAGAATTTTTTTTTTTTTTTTTTGAATCAAGTCAATTCAATGAAATATCAATTGTCGTTGTTCATGTGCAAATCTTTTCGAAGTTATTTGCCGCACTTATTTTCGAAGTTATACACTACGTATATTTTTGAAGGGAAATTGTAAAATAAAAGGAAGTTTAATATTTAAAATGAGTATATAGAAACAATATGTCACCAAAGTGATCCTATTGTGTAAGTTGCTCATATAAAATAGTAAACATAGTATATATAGTTCAAGTAAATATTAATCGGCCCAAAGGAAGATTAATATTTTATCAAGTTATATATATACATTTTGGTAATAATAAATATATAACAATTATAAGGCTTCACTTTAAAAGAAAAAAAAAAATCAACCCAAAGGTGGATTTTTCTTTTATATGTATTATTGTTATATTTTATTGTTACAACAAGAGTACCACTAGCAATTAGTATTATTGTCCAAAGATGAAATACTAATGGTGCATTTGGTATCTTGTGATGGGTTAAAATCATTTTACAATTTCACTAAAACATATGTTTGTTATCCTTGTTCTTTCCACAGTTAATTTTGCGAGCATATCTGCCAATCTCAACTCCATCCCTGTCCTAAATGGTACTAATTTTAAGGAATGGAAAGAAAATATTCTAATAACTTTGGGCTGCATGGATCTTGACTTAGCATTAAGGGTAGAGCAACCCGCTTCTCTTACGGATGCTAGTACCCAAGATGAAAAAAGGTACTATGAGAAATGGGATCGCTCGAATCGCTTAAGTCTTATGATCATAAAGCGTGGCATTCCAGAATCCTTTAGGGGAGCTGTATCCGATGAGGTTACTAATGCCAAGGATTTCCTTTCTGAAATTGAGAAACGTTTTGTTAAAAGCGATAAGGCGGAAATAAGCATGTTGTTAAAAGACTTTACTTCCAAAAGGTATTCAGGAAAAGGAAATATAAGGGAGTATATTATGGAAATGTCTTATATTGTTTCTAGGCTCAAGACACTTAAGATTGAGATATCGGAAGATGTTCTCGTACACATAGTCTTGAACTCTCTTCCTATTGCATTTGATCCTTTTAAAGTTAGTTATAACTGCCAGAAGGAGAAGTGGTCTCTTAATGAGCTCATTTCATATTGCGTGCAAGAGGAAGAGAGGATGAAACAAAATAAGACAGAAAGTGCTCACTTGGCTAGTACCTCTAAGGATAAGGGTAAAAAGAGGAATAGAACTCCCATTAAGAATGAAGCTGCTAAAGGTCCAGTACAGAAGAAACATAAGGAAGGTGAAACAACTTGTTTCTTCTGTAAGAAGTCTGGACACATGAAGAAGGATTGTACCAAGTATCACGCTTGGAAAGTGAAGAAAGGTACGGTCCTTACCTTGGTTTGTACTGAAAACAATTTAGCTTCAGTGCCTAGAAATACTTGGTGGTTAGACTCCGGTTCAACATCTAACATCAGTATTTCTATGCAGGGTTGTCTGAGCCACCGCAAGCCAAATGATGCTGAAAGATGTGTCTATGTGGGAGATGGCAAAGCGGTGCATGTGGAGGCTATTGGGCATTTTAGATTGTTATTGTCTACTGGTTTCTATTTGGATTTAAAAGACACTTTTGTTGTTCCGTCATTTAGGCGGAATTTGGTTTCTGTTTCTTATTTGGACAAATTGGGTTATCATTGTTCATTTGGAAACTTTCGGTTTCATTTGTCTTTAAATTCAAGTATAGTAGGGACTGGTTCTTTTATGTCATATGACAATCTTTACATGCTTGAAACAATAACTTCATATAATAATGTTTTGAATATTGACACCCGAGGCACTAAGCGAAAGGTTGATAATGCACAATCTGGTTTTTTATGGCACAAACGATTAGGTCACATCTCTAAAAATAGAGTTGAACGTCTTGTGTCTGATGGAACACTTAATTCCATTGATTTTTCTGATTTCAATACTTGTATTGAGTGCATTAAAGGAAAACAAACCAAAATTAAGAAAAAAGGTGCATATAGAGCTATGGATGTCTTAGAATTAATACACACGGATATTTGTGGGCCATTTCCTACTCCTTCATGGAATGGTCAACAATATTTTGTGTCATTCATAGACGATTACTCTAGATATGCATACTTATTTCTTATACATGAAAAATCTCAAGTCTTGGACGTGTTTAAATCTTACAAATCAGAAGTTGAGAATCAACTCAACAAACGCATAAAGAAAGTCAAATCCGACCGTGGTGGTGAATACTATGGGAGGTATGACGGCTCAGGTGAACAACGTCCAGGGCCTTTTGCCAAATTTCTAGAGGAATGTGGGATTGTCCCTCAATACACCATGCCGGGTTCACCTAGCATGAATGGCGTAGCTGAGAGACGTAATAGAACCCTTAAGGAAATGGTAAGAAGTATGATTTCTCATTCTATCTTACCTGAATCCCTCTGGGGTGAGGCATTAAAGACTGCAGCTTACATTCTTAATCGAGTGCCAACTAAAGCAACTACTAAAACACCTTATGAGCTTTGGACGGGTAAAAAGCCTAGTTTAAAGCATTTTCATATTTGGGGTTGTCCAGCCGAGGCAAAGCCGTATAGACCGCATGAAAAGAAACTGGAACCCAAAACAGTTAGTAGTTACTTTATTGGTTACTCGGAACGATCTAGGGGATATAAATTTTATAATCCTGAGGATAAAAATATTTTTGAAACGGGAACTGCCATATTTTTCGAGGATGTTGAGTTTGGGGGGAAGAATAAAGTTAGGGATATTGTCTTTGAGGAAGAATTGATTTCAATACCTGAACCAATTCATATGGATGTTTCTTTTGAAACTAATGAAGAACCTCAACAAGGCATTATTTCATCTTCTCCTATCCAAACTGAACAAATTATTCAAAATGAACAAACTCAACTTCCTCTAGAACAAGTGCAACAAGAAAATGTGCCATTGCGGCGATCCGCTAGAGAAAGGAGATATGCAATTCCAAGTGATTATGTTGTATATCTCCAAGAACATGTGTCAAGCATGGATACAGTGAATGATGTCCTTGTGTTTATTCAAGAACATGAGGAAGAAAATGGTGTTATGGAAGATGATCCAATCAACTTCCATCAAGCCATGAAAAGTTCAAATTCTCAAAAGTGGATTGTGGCAATGAATGAAGAATATAAATCTATGCAAGACAATAAAGTTTGGGAACTCGTCCCATTACCTGAAGGTTGTAAACCCGTTGGTTGTAAATGGATATTTAAAACCAAAAGGGATTCAAGGGGTAATGTGGAGAGATATAAAGCTCGTCTTGTAGCTAAAGGTTACACTCAAAAGGAAGGAATTGATTATAAAGAGACCTTTTCTCCAGTTTCATCAAAGGACTCTTTTAGAATCATTATGTCTTTAGTTGCACATTTTAATTTAGAGCTTCATCAGATGGATGTTAAGACAGCGTTTCTCAATGGCGACATTGATGAAACTATTTATATGGTGCAACCAGAAAATTTTGTGATAGGAGATCCAAAACAAATGGTTTGCAAATTAACAAAATCCATCTATGGGCTGAAACAGGCTTCTCGTCAATGGTATCACAAATTTCATCAAGTCATTTTATCCTTTGGTTTTAAGATGAATGATGTAGATGATTGTGTATATCATAAATTCAATGGGAGTAAAATCTTTTTCCTGGTCTTATATGTTGATGACATTATTCTTGCCACTAACGACATAGGCATGTTGCATGAAACCAAGAGATTTCTATCAAAACATTTTGAAATGAAAGATCTTGGTGAAGCCTCCTTTGTATTAGGAATTGAAATCCTTCGTGAGAGATCACAAGGAATCTTAAGGTTATCACAAAGGAACTATATCGATAAAGTTCTTAAAAGATTTGGCATGGAAGATTGTAGACCGGGTGATACCCCTATCTCTAAAGGAGACAAGTTTAGTCTCGATCAGTGCCCTAAAACAAATCTGGAAATTCAAGAAATGAAAAAGATTCCCTACGCATCTGTTGTAGGAAGTCTTATGTATGCCCAAGTTTGTACGCGTCCGGATATTGCGTACATTGTTGGGATGCTAGGCAGATATCTCAGTAATCCAGGAATGGCTCATTGGGTGGCGGCCAAAAGAGTAATGAGATACTTGAAGAGAACAAGGGACTATATGCTTACATATAGAAAATCAGATCATTTGGAGGTCGTTGGATACTCCGACTCTGATTTTGCCGGCTGCAAAGACACTAGTAGATCTACTTCAGGTTATG